ACTAACAGCACTTTCCTTGCATGTGGGGCAAGTTAGGAAACACCCATGCAGAGAGGTAGGATGGCTCATCTGCGACTTGTTACGCTAACATAAATTGGCCATGTTTGGTACAGGCCAGAGCCTAAATGAACCAAATGGGACTCATGAGCCCAAACAGAAAGAACAATTCAAGAAAGGTATTTTACAAAGGCAAGAGCAAAGACCTGAGTCCAGTAACAATTCAAATACAGGAGAGGACAATCAAAGGACAGGTTAGACAAATATTTTAAGTTTTGGATAACTGTATTTTGCAAGGCTGCAAAAACAAAAATGCATATTATGAAGGCAGGAACATAGGCACCTAAGGACTTCAGGACCAATCAATTATGGAGAAAGTATGAAGGAGTAGCTGGAGATGAGGGAATAAAAAAAAAAAAAAATAGAAGAAAGAAAATCAAATTAAATTTCACAACAACTAAAGGCACCAGTATTCTTCTCAGGGAATGTAATAGTTTTCCTAGCTGCAAATTTATGCAACAGGTCAAATATATGTTGGCCTCATTTTCTTTGATGTCAGATTGTGTAGATCAGCTATCCGAGACTAAATATGTTCAGTATATGTAAAGGCGGCAAATTAAAAACAACTAGTGGTGGTCCCAGAGAAAAGAACTGGAAATGGAGTAACTCCCTAATGATGAATTCTGGGGTTTGGATGCTATCAAAGCAGAAATTATATTCTATTTTATGCAGCTAATAAAGGTCAAACATCTGAAAACATGGACTAGGATGTATTTGAAACTGTAACATGAAGTAAATTAATACTGGAGATTGAAAAAGTGAGAGCTTTGCATAAAAATGATTTATGAGTGTATTTAAACACCTCTCACTTCTTTCTGTTATTGAAGAAAATTGAAAAGGCCCACAACAGGCTGAAATTAAGATGTTGCAGTGTGAAAATAAGGCTAGTGAACTTGTAACCTATAGATAAAATGCAGGAAAAAAAAGTCAAATTTCAGACAATAAAAATACAAAAACATGGTAAGACTAAAGGCCAGAGATGCTGTTGAATAATCCATCACTTTTCATCTCTGTTTTACGCTTTTAGGCATATGGATATTATGGAGAAAACTCCAGAATAATACATTAATGAGTTTAGCATGCCATGGCTAAATCAGGATCAGTTAGATCCTGACTTAGAATAAATAAAACAGTGAGTTTATACTATAGAGTGGAACCAGATTTTTTTTACAGAATAGGAAGACTCTTGATGACAGTCACAAGGCATATTGAAACATGGGTAAGACAAGCTGGTTTAGTTTTGTTAGACCACCACAGTTCTTTTTGGCGCCCAACGTGGGGCACGAGGGGTTGAGATAAGAACAGATCTGACTGGATTGATAGTCACTCGTCACAATGCTGATTTATTGGCTCTTAAGGTTGTTCCTCTTGATCTCACAGTTTCAGTATATCGTATCTTACTTCCATCCGGTATTTGCTGTATTAGTGTTTTTCAAGTGTGGGGCTTGGGCTAAGGTTTTTGTCCCATTGTACTTTATGGTAATGACTTGTAATACAATAGAATCATTGATCGTGAAACTGATCTGGCTTATGTTCCCAGTGTGGTCACCACCTTTATACTTTGGGAGGTATATGATGGAGGTGCTTAGCAATTACACATCTTTTTTCTCCTTCTCAGGTGCTCAACCTGTAAAGGAGACATGCTTTTACCCTCCCAGTCAAATGCATTATTTTTAGGATTCTAACTAAAAGAACTAAACCACTGCTCAGATAATAAACCTGAACAAACAGAGTAATCCTGTGCTAACATTCATATGTCATATAGATAGCTATATCCAAGTGTATTTATCAGTTAGTAAAGTGACCCTTTTAACAAGTTAATGGAAGTGGGAAGTAGGATACTTGGTGTATCTGTGACATTTCTTCCTGGTTTACATTACAGGGAATATTTTTAAAGAAACATGAATGCCAATAGGATTTTGAGAAATTAGTATCAGACAATTCTGATAGGAATATCTCATGACTGTAGCATTCTCAAGGAAAACAAGTTCATTAATAAAAATGGAATACACTTGTTAAATAAATACACTTATTGACGTTTAATGTTGTTAATACTTCTAGGTTGCTATGTCTGTTGTTAATGACAAAATGGATTTATAAGAAATTTTTTTTAAACTTTAGGGTGCGTATAAACAATTCAATAGATTTAAAACCAGTAACATGAGAAGTGTTGTAACACTCACATGCTTACAGTTTATTGATTATTTTATTTTGGCACAGTACATCAGGGATATAGAATTAAAGATTTTTTTGAATAATTATGACTGCATTAACAGCCAAGAAAATACAACAGCCAAGAAAATACAATCTTAGACTTTGATTTTATCTACTCAGAAAATATGTTTATAGAATTACAGCTGTTATTTCTCTTGATTTCAGAAAACTCCCTACTACAAATCATGCTAATGAAATTAATGTTTAACAACTCAGCTTTATTTATATGCTTAAAGAACAGTACTTAACAGTACTTAAACCACACTGAAAACCAAAAAAAAATGTAATTTTTCATAGTAATGAAAGCTAATTCCTCTGTTACCATAACCATGGTTTTAGTTATGCTTTGGAATTCAACTTGCCAAATAAATTCCAAGTTCTGAATTTTTTCTTATTTTTCAGTTCTAGTGGGGAAAACAGATAGTTCTATGCTCATATAAATATATTTACCACTAAAAAGATAGGTGTTGTTTGACACTAGTTTGACAGCATTTATTGCTTTTCTTAGGACACTAAACAATTGTGACAAAACTTTCAGTCGCAAACAACTTGAAATTAAGGGAGGAACATTCTTTTCTTATTCCATATTTTTTCCTCTGACAATAGTTAATGTTCTGCTTTTGGTTCACAGTTAATTCTGATAAAGAAACAAGAACTTGGGAAACACACAGATGGCCACATGCTATAAATTATGTGGTAGTCTTATGTGGGTGGTATGTAAAATATTGCTGCTTCACTCCCTCATCTCAAGCCTGAAATCAGAAGTCACTTGGTGTTCAATATGTCTTTTACATTTTCTGGTTTTAATGTATGCAGAATTTTCTGATCTCAAAAAATAAGTCTTGTCAAGTAGGAAAACATTTATGTAACATAATCTCTCAAAATCTAAAATGCTTTTCATTAATGATGGCTCTATTCTCTCCAGAGGAAAGGTCCACACAGGAAGAGTACAAGAAAAGGAACAAACCCAACAAGAAAAAGATACGTTCAAGTATGACTCAAGTGGTTTAGAATGTTACCCAGATCCGTTGTTGAAAATACTTCTGAAAGAGGTAGCTTTGGAAGCTGGTCACCTGAAGACAGTGAGAAAACAGATGTGAGAAAGGAAAGACCTGATCATCCATCAGACGGAATCCAGACGTGACAATTAGAGTTAATGAACCACGACCCATGAAGCTGCTTCAGCACCTTTTTACAACCACACTTCATGGCCTTAATAAAAGTACCAGAGCTTATTTTACACACCACATCTGCTCTAAATTCCAAAAGGAGAATCTTTAAATTCAGATGCTATGTTTGGTTTCTTCCCCACTCTTCGTTCATGTATAAGGTATTTAACAACAGCATATTTACTTTTTTATCTGTTCGGTCAACAGAATATAAGCACTGGAAGATAATTTTTTACAATGAGATTGCGCTGTTATACTAGTTATTCAATTTACATTAACATTAATAAGCTGTTGAAGCTGTCTGAAAAGCAGCAGGCAAATATTTTCTCCAGTATAAATTTCGCCAGTATAAAGGCATTTATATTCAAGTATTTCTTTATTTCAGGTATTTGCAAAATTTATAGTATGCTTTACAAATATTAGGTTAATTTGCTGCTTTTGAAATATGCCTCACTCAGTCTTGATACTTGAAGTCCTCCATTTCTTTACAGAGCAGGTATGGCTAATGAAGCAATACCTCTTTCTCCCCAGAGCCCAGAAGATCTCCTGAACTTCTAAGTCCCAGGCTGGAATAGATCCTCCTTGCCTCATGGGCAAAGTATTTCTGCTGTTTTTCCGTTTTGGAATCCTATCTTTTTCCTTAAATGTCAAAAACCAGTATTACAACTGCACCATTTCTTCTGTCCACAAGTGAAAAGAAGCAAGGAGAAGGAAAAGTAGCCCATAGGCTAATTGTTATAAGATTCCCTTTTGCATATTAGATGTCTGGAAGGGCTCTGGACTGGGCTACAAGGTATAACATATAGAGGGAAGAAGAAGTAATTTTGTTTCTCACAACAGTGTTGAGTAAAAATACCAAGAAATTGACCTTGTTGTATCACAAAGTTTCAGGTGGTAGTTGTTGAGCAGCCTAATTACAACCCATTGTTTTCAGATTGTCAGTGTTTTTCAGGAAAGTAGAATGTCTTATTTTGTAAGATAGCTAACACTGACCCAAAATCCTGGTTTATTTCTCTCTAGAAAAGGGGGACAAGGCAGGTTGCTTTCAGAGCCTCTCAACAGTTTCCCCAGGACACCATAATGCCTGCATTTTGTCTTCTGCTGTTATACATAATGGAGAATTGATACAGGATAGATAATTCTTGATTTTCTATATCAGGCATATCTTCCCCCACCCTCCTCCTAAGATGTTCTTCCAGTTACATCAGTTTGCGATGTTCTTCCCTACCTCACTGAGGTCCAAGCCTCACTGCATGCTAACTTGCGTATCTTTTCCAGTGCCACAACAGTTTCTGTACAGTCCTAGCTACATTTCTTGATGTTTCCTGACTCCCCTACTTGCCCTCCCGACAGTAGGGATCATGAAATAGCATGGTCAAAAAAGCAGATCCCCAGGAATCCCAATCTATTTAATCTTTAAGAAATTAAGTTCATTCTCTTCTTCTAGTAGATATTTTTAGACAAAACTGTTAACCCCTCTCCCCCGAGTTGATATTAGTCATTAATTTACAAATTAATTAAGCTGCATATCAATCCATGACCCAATCAATGCTAGAGACATTTGCTGGAAGGGTAATACCATATTTTATTGACATTATTTGTCAGCCCAAAGGTCTGATGTGTATACAGTACTAGCACAAAAATGCTTTTCCCAAACAATTCATTATGAAAACTTATATCTAAGTTTCAAATGCTTTTTATTGATAGTAAGCAATTCCAGGAACACATTTCCAGTTTATGCCTTGACAAAGCCTCCTACAGAAAGATGTACTATTCTTCTTTTTTTCATAAGAAGCAGAAAAAATCCGCACTTTAGGCAACATTCTGCTCTTCTTGCAGGAGCTCAGTGAGAGCTGGTCCCTAATGCAGATCTTCCAACGAGTTCCCACAGTCTGGTTCAGGAACCCGCAAAGGCAAGATACTCTGTGCAGAGCAGGAAGCTTGCAAAGAGCTTGGAGACAGCATCTGATGGCCAGCTGCATCCCAATTCCCTCTTCTCACCAAGTTACGAAGTGATTGGTCACATCCTGCTTCTAGGGAAGACAAAGGCATCTCAGCAGTTGGTACCTCTTTAACTCTGAACTGGAAAAATACATCATTCAGAAATAAGAGTCCAGTTTGGTCTTGCACATGGAAATGTCTGTAGTATGCGCAGGACTTCACCGGGAGTTTTGGCACCTCAAGGGAAGTGGCTTGCAGAGCTTTGCATTATAAAATCTTTCCATATCTTAATTAACAAATTAAATAATAAAACACTTCAGTTTATTCTAGTAAGTGTTATCAATGCAGTGTCCCACATTTTATAAATTACTTGGCAGCAAAAGTGCCTGTAAACTGTCTGTCCCAGTATCTACGCTATCGTTAAGACAAGTTTGGGTTTATCTTGTTTTGTTTTAACCTTCCAAAAGCTCACTAAATGCTACTGACATTCAAAACATGGTCAAAGTAGTGAAAACGAGAAGTTTAAAAATTAGCAATATTTTAATATTATCAAAATATAGTGTTTGCTGCAAATACCTTCTGCCTTGCTTAAACATGAAACCCAATTTTTTTTAAACATGTGTTTGGAGAACACACATAGCAGTGAACAAACCACCCACAGCCCAGGTGAATGATGTTTTAAAGGCTCACTATTTCAATAATTTCCTTCAACCCAACAGTACTTCAGTAAGGAAATAACAGAAGAAATCATTCTTTTTACCTTCAGGTGTCATATAAACATATTTAGTGAAAGATCTCTCTGTAAATAATTTTTCTAAGAGAAAAGACTCTCTTGAGTCTCCTAAGCATTTATGGTTTCACAAGCTGTTTCCAAGTCATTCATTTATCCAAGGATGAATGAACCTAACAAGGATCCATGTTCTAGCAATTTTGATTTAAAAGCAACAATAAATTCAATTTCTTTGTAAATTTATTTTCTTTGGTCTTTAATTAATTTAATTTCTTATTGTTATGAAGACATTTAATCTGCAAAGCAGTTATTTTTATTAAAAAGAAACCACTGTTTCTCATCCAGTGTTTTCATCCAAAGCAACTCATGGCTGGGGGGGAAATACATACCATTGTTGACATAAAGGTAAGAGAGCTCAGAACTGTGGTTTGGAAAATCCAGATCAAGCATACATGTTCAATCCTTGTGAGTTACAGTCCAAGTTTTTGCATACATTCTAAACAGAATTGAAATGAACTTTCTGATCTTTTAACTAGTAGTAGATACATGGAACCATCCTTCAAGTGCAGTAAGTGTATTTAAAAATGTCATGTGTATTAATTAAATTACAGAAATAGAAAAAAAAAAAACCAAAACAAAACCAATCTATGTGCACATTCTCAATCCATGTTTTCAGTGGCCTATGTCCCACTTTGCATGATGAGAGAGACATAGTTTTAAGAAGAGTTATCATCCTACTTTCAAATGGCAGAACATACCAGGGCTGGATATCAAGTAACTCTGATACAGACAGTAAAATGTTGCCCTACAATGAAAAGAGGTATAAATGTGGAAAAGTCCTGTGTTCTTCCATGAAGTTGCTACTGCAAACAGAAGCTGTCATTAGGTATAGATGAATTTCAACTTCAACATAAAGGCTCTCTTAACATAAAAACTGACGTTAAATACTTCAAAGAAATTTCTCTCCACATGCAAAGACCCTCTGAACAGATCACTGTAAACTCTGGATCTTTCTGAGTTAAGAATCTGATTGCAGATCAGTTTAAGCTGAACTGTGAAGAAACTAAGAATATCCACACGGAAGTTGTATTACTTTAAAAAGGTTTCACAGAAAATCTACTTAACCTTTTTGTACAGGCAAGGACAGTCTTTCACAGATGTGTTGGCAGATACCACTGTACAGAGGTAAAATCACTTCTTACATGATTGTCCTGTCACAACAAAACTAATTTTAATGATCTGTAGTTATAAAAGCCACTGGAACATTAAAGGCATCATACATAACCATTGCTTAATCATTAAGAGACAGGAAGCAACCATACATGCACAGTAAAGAGACCTTTTACTAGGGACATTCGACATACGCTTTACCTAATTGTTCTACTCATGGGTTATTATGTTCTGTCAGAGGACAACACATCTCCTTCTACCTTGAAGAGTTGTAAACCTTCCTGCAGGTAATTTCTGCATTTCTTGAGTATCTTCCTTCTCTTGTCATACTAATATTCTCACTTCTATCACATAAAGTTTTCCAGCTGTAAAGAATCCAGGTAAAGATCCTGGCATTAGACAAGTCTTTCTTACAATGTAAATCTGGTCCTATCAAAGTCATGAAGATTTTGCAGTTGAATTCTGTTCAGGATACTGACTAGGTGAAGTAATTATTTTCTTATTCTGAGATTTAGCGGCTCTTGGTCCTTAGTTCCACTCATAAAGGGTTTTATTTCTGCACTGACTCTTGCTCTCCTTATTAAGCTTTAGTATGATAATAACACTAAGAAGCAGAAATGAAAGAGGACTATTAGTTGAGAAGGTTAATTTTAAGAACTGATGGAAAGTACTTCACCAAAAATGTGGATATAAGCTATGAACTTTAATGAGGTAATAAAAAACTGTAAGAAAAAAACAGATGTACGGACAAATATTTTACATGAAATTACCTAAAGAATTAATCATACCAGATTACCATTGCAGCAGTATAGAATTCTTATATAGTAAACTAACAGCTGAAAGCCATATGAGATTATTATTTACACATACACTGAATAAATGTTTACTATACCAGAGAGTATTTAATAAATCTTCCAAGAATCCTTGCAGCTATAGACCTTTCATTTTGAATGGAAATATGTTTATATTATCAAGCCACATAATCAAGTTTTTATTCTTAGTACTGTCATTTAGTAATATCTCTGTCAATAAGCAGTATGTAAATTTGTACTAGCTAGTGATCCAGTCATCAATTTATAGATAAACACAATAATTTAAAATATTCTTCTTCTAAATATTGTATCGCACACACACACACACACACACACACACACACACACACACACATATATATTCCAAATTATTTTGCTGCAGGAGAACAGCTCTTATCCATCATAATCAAAGAAGCCATAACATGAAGAATGCCTGCTTCACAGCACAGATATTATTTCTGCTTTCTAATACTCATGTAGATTTTTAGTTTCCTGACTTATTTGCACCACAGCAAAGTATCCAACCTAATTCAAAGCTAATGATGTGTAACATGTTAAACTTGGTGGCTGAATAAGATATTTATATTCAAAAAAAGTGAGGAATAAGTAAATGAAGGGAGGAGAGAGGCACTGACAGACACATCCATGATTCCAAGGATGACATACTTAAAGAAGGCACATCACAGCATTTCTATGCAAACAAGTTCTTACAGTCTGAGCCACAGCTACACTCGCTTTTCTACATTAGCTTTCTACATGGGCACTCTTGTACTAGAAGAGAGGTGATTTTTACATCTTAAGCTTAACTCACTTTCAAAGAAGACTAATAACAATGCTCTTGGTTCAAGATAAGATTTAAAGTTAATACTTTTTGCATACTATTTTCTTGCACCAGAAAATTCTTAGTCAGGCGTCTCCATCCATTTCCAAATCAGGCTACCGGTGACTGTCTACTCCTTCACTTGAAAACAGTTCCGATATCTAGCCCTCAATCACTAATGTAGTCATGTCGTATGAATTGATATTTGACCAAGTCTTACATTCATCTTAGTATTTTCTGAACAATTAGCAAACAAGGAAAACAAACAGGAAGATCCTGTTTGGAAACCACTCACTTTGAAGGACTGACAAAAGCTACCTCACTACAGCTACAGCAACCAAATAACACTTTCTATGACTGGCAGAACAGAGCAGCACACAGTGTTCATAGGGGATCTCTTTGATCCCAAGACTATCATTTACCTGCGTTACGGGTCATTTAATTATTTGTCTTCTCAGTCAATATCCTTTGATGTAACAAATTCAGGCTGCCAGTGCTCTGGTATACGGAGAAGTAATTAATTCCAGCGATAACGTCTTCAAAGATGGCGTTGCAATAGAACACAGAAGAAAAAGCCACCAAGAAGAAAAAAAAAAAAAGAAAGAAGTTAGACATAAATAGTATCTAATTCAGCTAAGAACCAAACTCTGTGTGTTAGTCTGAGTGAATTATTTGGAGGAGTTAGCCTTTTCCTTTCTTTTACATGATACATGTAAATGTTGTTTTTATGAAATTGTATTTAACAGATGTAAATTCATGGGACTATATGTTTACATATTCTAAAGAAAGGTCATATTGAAGTGCTAAAAATAGCACAATAAATAAATCTACCCTTTCTGGGCTTTTCTTATTCTTGTCTATAATGTACCAAGGCTCCTTATTATTTTCTAATTTTCTCTGAGGCTCACTCTTGAGGTGACCTGGATTACAAGCAAATATTCCCACTTCTATCCTTAAATCCTTAGAACCAGAGTGACAGCAAAAAGACAAACTTCTAACTCAGAGGACTGAGATTACACCTGCATAAGCAAATAGTGCAGCCCCATGGGAGAAGGCTTGTAGAGCAAAGTTGGTGCCAAGGATGCAATATCCATACTGCATGCACTTCAGGTGTGTTTACTCAGACTAGTAGATAACAGCTTCTGTGGACCAAATGCCCATTAACAATTGGACATCATCTGTTGTACTCGTCTTCAATTCATAAGTAGTACAGAAAGAATCCAGTTTACAGTTTCTGATACTGCTTCATGACATGAAGTAAATCACAGTAAATGAGAAGGATAAGATTTATTGATTTAAGTTCAACAGGGAGCTGGACAGTGTATGATGTCATGAACTTACATAGTTAATATAGGTGCACAAAACCTCAAAGTTTAATATGCTTACCTATTTTTTTTAGAATTCAGGCAAAGTACTCAGCCCTAAATTTTGATATTTCACTCTGTTTCTCATACTTTGCTTCTAAAGAGTTGAACTCAAATTAGGTCTGGAAACAGTCATGCTTAAAGATTAAAAGTTTGTCTGCGCATTCCTTTTGGGTTACTACTGGGGATTTAGACTTTGAGATTACTCTTTGAGGTGTATTCTCTAATTTTATTTTTTTTTATCTACCTATTATCTTCTTCATAAGAGTTTTCTATGAAGAAGTAATTTATCAGACTCAAAGTTATGACCTCTTCAACTAGGTGAAAGAGATGAACTTGAAAAGAAAGGCATGTGAAACCTGATATATTTTTCAGGGTGGCGGGGTTTGATGGTAAGATATTGTCTTTATTTCTGCCCATGTTTGCTTATTTCTATAATGGGATGATGACTGCAGTAAAAGTCATTCTGTTCTAATATAGCACAACAAAAAAAGTGAAGAAAGTTTTGAACTGTACGTCAAAGAAATGTCCTCACCATTTTAATTATCTTTGGATGTACCATTTTACTATCCCTTACTGTGGAAATTACATAAAAGGTTAGCAGTTTACACTTGGATGCAAGCCCAAAGTAATAACTGAAATTATAATTGATGAAAACATAGTGCTTCAACTGTTGGCTCTATGCTTCAGCATATTTTTGCTCAAACAAAAGATTGTGAAAGTGAAACCTTATGGCTTGAGAACACTTTCATGCTCTGGAAGAGCTGCACATCTGTTAGTGAGAAAAGAGTGAAGAACCACTTATAGAGATGGAACATTTTCATCTTTTCTGCTTTCTCCAGATATCCCGGGGAAGCCTGAAAATAATGGATATGTGGCAAACAGTCCCCATGTGTCTTCTGCCAGTCCTTTGTATCAGTACTGTCAAAGCTTGATCTACAAGTTGATTTAACGTGGCCACTCAGAATGGTTGCTTTCATATGAAACCTCCTTATCTACCTGCTTTGGTTGTGATAGATGGAGGAGGTCATGGCCTTGGGAGGAGTCACTTGCAGATTTTCCCTCTCTCTTTTTCATTTAGTTTGTTATTTTAAAGGGAATCTGAGTGGTGTTATTTACAGCCCTGTTAAGGAAGATTAGCAGAACTGAAAGAAAATAATACAGATATAAATTTTATGATGTTATTGCTCCAGGCCTAAAAGGATGAAAGTCCAGTGCTAATGGCAGAGTGTTTTGGTGTCTGCTTCCAAGTTATAGCAAGGAACAGGAAGGTAAGTAAAACATATTTAAAAAGGTAGTAAAGGACTATGATGTGGAAAGGTGCCTTTGGGAACCCAGTAATTCTCCTCCTTTTCCTCTTCCTCTTCCTTCCTGTATTCCTCCTCTTCCTTCCTTCCCATCTTCTTCTTCCTTCTCCTCTTTTTCACTTCCTTCCTCCTCTTCCCCTTCCTCCTCCACTTTTTTCTGCTTAAACATGGAAGTTGAAACAAAGCTTTCTCTACAGTGTATAATCACATGCTTTTTCATGCTACACATTTTTATCACACTGGAACATCAAGCACCCCTTAAAATTACCAATCACTGCTTGTTTCAGAATGCTGCTATGAACATTATGCATGCATGTGCAGAAATTCCTTTTCAAACCTGAAGTCTGCAGTCAGATACATTTGTAGCCACAGTTTTCACGCTCTCAAACCCAGTAGCACCCATCAGCATGTATGAATCACTAACTGTGCAGGAATAAATTCCATACGATAACTAATATTCCCCTATTTTAACAGCATCTTTTTCTCTGTTTGCTACCCCTGCCTCATAAAAGCATTCAGATCCTTTTGCATCCTTGAGTTTACACTAGTTGTATAGCTTGAATGATAGTATAGGGTAACGCTGTCTCTCTCTTTTAAAATCCAAACTGATAGTGACAGAGTGTAAACTAATGTATTTTTATATGAGAAAAATATAATAAGTTGTGGAGGTACTATAACTACTGTATTTATTAAGATGTTTCTGATTGTTATGTTACATATGTTTCATTTATGATTTAGAGGAAAAGTTGTTGAAATTTAAGTAACTGGCTTTCAGCCAGCTTTTGATTTAAACTCATTTTGCAGTTTGAACACTTTTTGGTTGTAGATTTAAAAGCAAAAAGTCAAGGACTGACCTAACTTCAAAACAAAAATTCCAAAAGTTGTCTCTTCCTGAACATTGTTTAAACACCCTCCTACTTGACAGTAATAACACTGCTCATCTTTGAATGATAACATGAGCTTAAAGAGTGAATTCCAAAGGAAGTAAAAATATCTGCAAAGCCGCATGCCAAAGCTGGCAAACTTGGAGATTTGTTATAACTTCTTCCAAGACCCTGAAGCTGAGTTACTGGGGATGGCATAAGCTATTATCACTGTAGTTGAGGTGGCCTTGGCATATTCAAACTGAGTTATAAAAAATGGTAAAAAATCAAGGGCATGACCAAAAGAACACAGTCTGGAAGGAAGATGAGTGTTGGATACATAAAACTGGGGAAAGAGAAGAAGGTAAAACTAAAAGACAAATACAGAATCAGCTATGGGTAGAAGGATTAGGGAAGGAATCAAAAACAGGATGAAGGAAAAAAAGACAATCAAGTGAAAGAAACAGATTTTGGACGTAGTGTTTTTTACTTAACTGTCTATCCCTTTTATCAGTAATTACTCAAGAACTACCTCTCTTCGTTGCATCACTTAAATGATTCTTAGATGTTTAAGACTCCTTTTTCTTTCCAACTTGGCTCTTTGTCTCTCTAGGTCCTCAGACTTTTATTTAATATCTTCAATTGAAGTTTTTGTACTAACCTTGGCCAAACGGTTGCTCATAAACACATTCAGAAGGAAAATGTTATGCTTCCTCTGTTTGCTTTTCATAAGTTTCAGGTATAGTTTGATAGCGGTGCCATTATTATTGCCACCAGCAGCACTGAAGGAACCACACCTGGCAAGCAAAATGTCTTCTCTTTTTGTCATATGAATAAAACAAAGCTCAGCAAGTCCAGGAACACAAACTCAGCAACAATAAAATACATGGAAGGAGAAAATTTTAGCAGAGAAAAAAAAAATCACTATGAAAAGAAAGAGAAACTGAGAAAGTACAAGATATATGATATATCATATGACAAGTTCAAACAGTGCCTCCTTACCTTTGCACTGAAGGGAATTAAGACTGGTCAAAGCCTTGCACAAGAAGCCAGATCAACACTTGCAAATTCAGACTGAAAGTTCTCATATAGCAAAGCTGTTAAGTAGGTGCCCAAAATTACATCTCTTCGGCAAACAGCCCTTGAATATACGCCTTAACAGCGTTATTGAGCAATGATGGCTCATTGAAATGAGGCATGAGAGAGCCATGGCTCCAGTCAAGCTGGAGAGTTCCCCAGTACCAATGTTGCACCTCTGTATTGAAATCGTGGTGGTTTCCAGCAGTCTTAGATTTAAAGTGGTTAACTTCTGTGTTTTAAATGGCTTCCTATATTTAGACTCTTTTTGAAGTGTTCTTTTTTTTCATCTGCTACTGTCCTTTGGTCTGAATTGGTTGACTATCTTGAACATTACATTAAAAAAATAATTTAGTGAGATGCAAAATAGAGAAAATGCAATTATATAAAAAAAAATGTAATATAATAGAGGTCACCAGACACTGATGCTTCGTAGGTTGCCAACAGTGTCAAAAAATGTTCAGTGCCTGAGTGATGCTGAGATAAATACCTTTTGAAATATATTAACTTTAGCCAAGTTCTGACTTCCCTTTGCTAAAAACAGAAGGTTGTTTTAAATTACCTCCAGTTCTAACCATTCTGTTCAAATAGGCATTGATTTGTGAACATAATGAGATTTTAAGGGTTGTTTTTAAGACATCAAACCAAATATCTGAGTGTGTTGAACTGCAGCTACTAATTTTAGCAGTTCAAGAACTTCAGGATCAAGATATTGTCTGCACACACATTCTCAAAGTGTATATATATGCCTTGCTCGTGGGAATTCTTAACAACATAATAAAGAAGAATCTAAAACAAAATCACAGTGTTCCATAAAAAAAGAAAACAAACAGAAAAAAAAATAGCATGTAATGTTTTCCCTCAAGTGTCTTCTGTGACTTCAGTGGTAAGAATGTAATAACTCCTGACCAAGCAGTGACAAATTAGAATTCTGCCCTTGGTTCTGTAGCTTAGTCTGGTGTGCATAGCCTTGAAACTGTAGTTTCACCGATTAAGGTGACTATATTTTCTCATTAGTAATACTCCTCTGCAGCTCACTTAAGTCTTTCATTTTACATGGCTGCAGACCACGAAGTAACTGTAGTAAACCAGCCTTTACAACACCTTTGATAACCCACCGTGGTTCTGCTCACCTTACCTCCACCAAGATAGTCAGTTGTTATCAGTTGTCTCCAGCATAACTGGGTCCTTACAGCTAAATCCTACCAAAGTCCTTCCCCTTCCCAATGGATCTTCATAGTTCATCTACTGTTCCTGTCTTCTTTTTTTTTTTCAGCATTCCTAACATATTTTCTGGTTTTTTTTTTTCTCTCTGAAAGCTGAGGAAAAAAAAAGAAAAAAAGAGCTTTCTGTATTAAAGACCATTACTGATGAAGTGTAATTCTTATGCCCAGTTATTCCTGAACACACCACCACAGCTTGTTCTGAAATGCCACCTCTACTTCTGCTCTGCCCTTCAGGGAAGTTCCAAAGCTTAGGCTTAACCTAAGGTGTTAAGAGGGCTCTGAAACAGCATTTCAAGATGCTAATAGGCTCCAGAAGACATTGCAGCATCACTTAGCTTGCAGCACACTGAAGCTTTGAAGTAACCTAAAGCTGTGTGGTTCAACATTTTTCATGTCTTTTAAAATACTCCAATCATTTTACTTATGTATAATGTATTTCAGACTGACACTTTAAATGCTCTGCTTTCATGTGTCACTGATACGTACTTCTTCAACTCCTCAAGCAGCATGAAAAAGTTCTAAACTACTTGATTTGAGAAATTCAGATTTTATACCCATTCCTATGATGGCAAGCTTTGATCCCACTTTTGTACTGACCAACATATCTCTGTATTAATATCACTATATTAGCATAATTAATATCTTAATATAATATGTATTCTTCAACATATATTAGCTGTGTGGAGTAGCAATAAAAGCATCCAGAACATTTCAAACACATCTCCAGTCACATAAAATACAGAAGAGACAGAATGCAGAACAATATGTATTTTAATCCAGGTAAACTTAAAGTCCAGACAACTGTAAAGACGGTTCATTCTCATCTTCCAGCCACCATCAAACAAAATGCTTAGACTTAAAATCTAAAATTTAAAATACCCAACCAATCACACATAGACCAGTTCATGATACAGCCACAAGTTACTACCCCACTTGAAAAATAGTTTGGAGGAAAGCATTTCACATATTGGCATGGGCAGTGATTACAGGGCTGATTTACGTAGTAATTTTTCCTGTAATTTTGAATAGCTCAAGTACTTAGAAAGTAGAAAACTGTTCAGCAGCTAAAACTTATCAATGCCTAAATTTTAATGCTGTATTTTATTTTGATTGACAATATAACTTTTCGTCAGAATATCTTAACTACAGAACAAAGAAACAGCAATGTCAATACAAAATACTCAACTACTGATAAAACTGCAGCCACTTTAGAAGGTTAGCAATGCTCTTTATATGATGTTCTGGAGTAGAGATGTCTAAGTGACAGCAGCTGAGAAAAGGTTAAAGGGTAGAATATGATCTCTCCCGCTAAAAGTGGTTTTGTCCTGCACCGTGGAACACTATGCAGAAATATCAACCCAGGTCTGATCAAGCAAGCTCTTTCCTGAACTACAAGAAGTGAGGTCACATTGACACAGTGGTGTGGCAGGGTTTATTAGCTTTAAAGCAGAGCCTGAAAGCAGAAAGGTATACTCCTTTCAGGATACAGGCCACAGAGTGCTGCCCTACATTATGCAGAGGAAAAAGCAGAGCTGGCTATAATAGCACTGTTAGGGAGTTGTTTGGAAAGAGCAAGCAAAAAAGACAACTGCTGAGTAAAGTGAAGGAGGCAGCAGAGAAAGCCTTGTGAAAACAAACAATCAAAAAACCACATTGAAGTGAGAGACAGGAATTAGAAATAGTGAGGGCAGATTAAGAGACCTTATCTATTCAAGAGATGATTCAATGGTCTGGGAGCCAGGGAAGCTTGAACTTCTTACCTTTTCTCCTGAGGGCACTTCTAGACTGGTAGCTCAAGGAATAAGTAGCCCCTGATGAACTTCATAAAGGATGGACCTGGGTAGCCAGGCATGTGCTCCTTGTCTGCATCCAGCCACACTAGTCCTCACAGCTTCCCGTGTCATCTCATTTACTTATAGACAAGCAGTGCTTCAATACTCAGTAATAAAAAATTACGCTGACGAGGTACTAGGCTGCTAATATCAGGAATTTTTACCTTCCCATGAGCTCTTATTCTGAATGAGTTTTTATCATAATATAAAGATCTCCTAACCTCTCTTTGCAAAGGCTTGCACAATTACGACACCAGAGCAAACATGTCCCTGATGGTCATTGAATGCATTCAGGCACTGTATTTTTTTAAATATACACGAAACTAATGATAACCACTTTCTACCCTTTTGCTTCTGTTTGTTTTAGAAAATGTCAAAAAAAGAGTTTGAGCTTGGGAAGTTATAACTTTCAGTTTCATGTTTAAAACATGAAACATTTGCAAAACATAAAAACCTAGTTTTGCTGCATTTTTTCGTCCGAAACTGATTGAGGAGGTAGAAAATCATCAGAATAAATAGCCTGCTGGTCACTGTCTTTAAAACTTACTGATATTATTTTGTTGTCTATCTCTTCCCTCTACTGTTTCTTACACTTATAAAAGGATCAGTATTCCAGAAAGGATGATAAATCTTCTCAGGCTGATAGTTCTAAGTAGGAGAAACAGATGAACTTCAGGATGGGTTTGAAACAGAAGCCACAGGTTCAGAACAATTTTCTTCAAGCTTATATTTATTATGTTAATAAATTAGATTCAAAAGGAATAAAACAGAATAGATGTACAAAAAAGGCTATTAGTAAGTGGAAAGAGTTTAAGATCCTTAGTTCTTGTGGGACAGAGACAAATGCAAAACTGTTAGGTGAGGGTAAAACATAAGGCGGAACTACAATGTGCTATAAAACAATACCTTTAGTGAGTTCCTAATGTACATTTTGGTTTCTATCTCAGACCCGAAGTAGGGTTTGTATGTTGAGAAATATTCAGATTTTCTCAGAGAATGGGTTGATCTCTTCCCTATAAATTTTGCCTTTGATCGCCCACGGCCACAATAACGCTATGATGATACGGTGGGGCTTTGGTGAGCTTCAGCTTTGTTTTTGTACAGTGCCTAGAGCAATCAGCAGTGACCCATTCCCTTGCTGCCTGTATGCTGTGGTGCTGATAGGACTAATACTGACTGATTAGTTCTCTCCTACCTCTTGCTAGGCTTCCATATCTAGAAGAAACTTCTGATGAATTCGGGACTAGACCAATGCTATTATGAGGTACAGTTGTTACAAAATCTGTTACATTGTCTAAAAAAAGAAAATTTCTGATTTTACATAGCTTTGGATCAGCAACTATGACAAAGTCAAAGCCTACTCAAATGCAAAATACATAGAATTGCATAAATGAGCAGCCAATTAGCATTAAGATGTTATGAGGAAACATTAAATCATCCCTTATTGTTATAAAGAGGAACAGTGCCAATTTACAGAAGAATTTTAATCAATTAAGTCAGCACAACTGCTGTGTATAAACAAGGATCACAGCAAATTAGCACATCCTCCAGTTGTAGTGTGCAATAAAAACAAACTGAAGTAGTACTGTAGTAAACATATTCTTTAAAAAGTGATTCAGAAAAAGAAATAAAACGTCTCTTCAATAAATCTCAGTGAAAATTAGAATTTGAAGACTTAATTTCTTTTGCTTGAGTCTTTTCATAGTAATAGGTTTGCTGCTTGTACATGGTTTGTTAGAAGATCCGGTTTAATGCTTTTATTTCTTCCTAAATTTCCATTTACACAAGAATATCAAATATTCACTTAAGTTTACTTTTTCTGGGATAGCTCACTTCTGGCAGCTTTTTGATTATAGAGTGAAGAATACTGGAAAGATCTTTTAATATATTTGTTAGTGGGTAAATGTTCAGAGGACAATTTAATACATAACGGTAAATCACAAAAACACAACAAATAAATTTACAAAATAACAAAAAATAAATTGACACATTTTTAATTGAAAATACTCGTGTTTGATTAACTGGGATACTCTCCTCAGCATGCAATGCTGGGATCCCCTACTTTATTCAGCAAAAGATAATTCTAGATAAAGAATTGACTGTGTAATGCTAAAACAAGTAGACACCCTAGTTCTTTCCGTTCTTCACAAAAAGAGAGGAAAAAATGCATTTTTCTTTGGATAGCTTTTGTCTCCACACAGGTTGATGGTTAAATTGATCTGAGTAAAATAAAAATTCAGAGACTATAGCCAGTGTTGAGAAGAATAGTTCCAAAGCAGTAGGGATTGAAACTACCCTTTACACACAAGACTAAAAATACACAAAGAAATTAAAATGTTTATAAAAAGCTCTTAAATGATTTTAGAAGGGATATAATTGCCTGATATCTACTATATTGATAATTATCTATAACTACTTTACCAGCTGTAAACAGAGCCAAAGCCTTTGAGAGTTTACTCTGTTAAACACAACAGACTTTTCTTCATAAGTTACCCTACCAAGCTTTTCTTCCTTATTTCTTTTCTCTGAAGCACTTGTCTTATGTTTAATACAGGACAATACAAGTGTCAGCTTGCATTGACTTTGAAAATGAAGATGTTTGCTATATATACAATTAATCCATTAATTCTAGACCATGCTATTTTACCAACGGCTGTTCAGGAGGTTGCAGGAAGAGGATACCACTTTCTCTCAGCCTTAACAAATCCATTCTGAAAGGGACACTCTTCATCTCATTTATAAGACACATGGTCCCAAAAAGCCAAGATTTATAAGGCTGTATACATTATGCTTACATGTCAGTGAGACAAAGACAGTGTCTGTCAGCAGTGGGGTGTGCTTTAGGAGCAGCAATTTTCAAAAGGTCTTTCATCACTTGGAAATGTCTACAGAATAAACTGAAAGCAGTAAAAAAGTTATTACAGTATCTGAATATGTCCATTGGGCTAATGGTTAGACAAGAACACCAGGGCCTGAGGGGAAATATCAAGAAAAGAATTAGAGCTGTGAGAATATAAAATCTGTAACAAGCTGGATCTTAGATGTCAACTTAACAGGTAAACAACTGTATCATCTTACAGAAATAGATTTTTCTCAATGTACGAGTGTAAAATTAATATGCGTTCATTGTTCAAAATCACAAATGTTTCTACACATTCCTTCAAGAGAAAGGGCAGTCTAGCTGCAGCCAAAGAGTATGCGATGTATATGATCTATCTCGTATCTAATTGGTTTAAAAACAAACATACAAACAACAAAAAGAAACCCAAAACACCTTCTGGATCTTTATCAAAAGATAAAATCTCAGTTTTGACAAAATCTATTAAAATGAACCCTACATTGAAGACAACTATTTTTTTCTTTACAAAAGAAGAAAAAAAATCCAACACTAAGCCAAACAAGCAAACAAACAAAACAAAACCACAAAAAAAAAAAACCACAAAAAAACCAACACAAACCAAACCCAAACCAAAACAACAAAAAACCAAACTCTAAACCCAACATACTCTAATGCAATCTAAACATGCTCAAAGTCATCCTATTTCAAAATGTTTAACTTCAGTTAACTAGGTTTTGTATACCAAATAATACCATTAGTGTATCATTATGATAAAGCTGATAGTATTGCTAAACACTAACAATTTCAGTGTTCTAACAACACTGAAGGCAAGGTCCTTTCTGAGTAGCAACTATAAATTCTGTAAATGGAATCCTGAACAAACTGAAAACCAGACCACTTTGTTTATCAGCCTCAATGAGTCAAGATTAATCTTTACTGTCTTCACACAAATAAAATATCCCATGGTGTGTACAAGTGCTAAACACAGGCTGGCTCCACCTGCTTCTTTCAGAGCTAATCACTGAGAGATACTAGAAGTGGAAGAAACTGGGGAGCCAGATGCGAAGAATGGTTGGTTGATAAGACCACCTTTCAGTGGCAGTAAAGCAAAGACAGGATTTCCTGTCTGATAACAGAAAAGATAGTGGAACTGGATAAACTGATAGTATTACCAAAAAAAAATCAAGAAAATACTCTTCTGTCTTTTGTACCAGTTATTTCTTAGTGGTCTTTACCACACACCACATACTACTGCCCAAATAACGCACATTTTCATTTCTGTTATGTCTGCTCTATGTTAAGAATTAATATAATTAATATCAAGTTTTCCAGTGCAAACTGCAAAGACTTTGAGATCTTCTCCCCTTCTTATGATGAAATACTTCAGAGGGTATTTTTCCTATATATAATCTCATTAAAGAAGGCATAGTTTTTCATGCTTTTCTACTTGCCATACCATTCCCGTTAGTGGACACTGCAATGCAGCCAATCCTTCATATCCATTAGTGAGCAGCAACTTAGCATGCTGGACAAAGATGTTTTTCCAAATCTTTCACCTTGTCATACTGAAACTTTCCCAACAGATACTTATTCATTCCACAACACCTTGGCCCAGCAAAGTATTCATTCCTGTATATAATTTTAAACAGATGAGCAGCCTTAATGAAGCTGATGGATCTACTTACGGGCTTAAATACATGAATACACTCCAGCACACCACTGGATCAGAGCCTAAAAGCTGCAAAAGATGCTCAGTAGCTACAATATCGTTGAGACACACAGGAATTATAAGTTCTCAGGACCTCTCCGTAAGTTATGACCTCATTTAGAGCTTCTGATCAGTTGCCAAACATTTACTTAGCTGTTAGCACACTGTTAGTTAATGTTTAACAACTGCAACAAACCCAGAAAATAATGTATTTCAACCAGCTAGCTGTAAATCACTGAGTTCTATTTGCAATGTCTATAAAAATTCTATATAAAAAGTGTAATCACCGTTCTATAAATATGACATCATAAGTCATTTAAGCTTAATTTAGAGTGCAATAAGCCTCAAATTTCTATTCAGATTCTTCTCAAGTCTTCTTAGACAAACCAAAGAGAAACAAACATATTTGCAGTATAAAACCTAGTTTTAACAATTCAGTTATTAGTGATACATGAAGAAAATTATATAGTATTCTCTTTATCAAAAAAACTGTAAGCAGAGTTTGTGCTGTTGAAATTCAAATACAAGGTTGTGCTGGTTTTGGCTGGGGTAGAGTTAATTTTTCTCATAGTAACTAGTATGGGCTATGTTTTGGATTTGTGCTGGACACAGAGTTGATAACACAGGGATGTTTTAGTTATTGCTGAGCAGTGCTCACACAGAGTCAAGGCCTTTTGTGCTTCTCACACCACCAGTGAGGAGGCTGGGGATGCACAGGAAGCTGGGAGGGAACAGCTGGGACAACTGACTGCAGTTGACCAGAGAGAGAGAGATTCCATA